AACACGAAGCATCTGCAACGCTTCTTGTAACTTGCCGACTGTTAAGACCTTTGTGAATATATCTGCAGGATTGTACGCAGTTGGAATCTTCAGTACTTGAATCCTTCCTTTGCTGATAAGATCTCTGCCAAAATGATACCGTACATCCATGTGCTTGGTACGCTCATGATGAACAACATTCTTCGATAGTGCTATTACACTTTGCGAATCACAGTATACCTCAACGGAGTCCTGAGAAGAACCTAAATCTGCTGCAAAAGCCTTCAGCCACTTCACTTCCTTTATGGCTTCTGCTAACGCCACATATTCTGCTTCGGTGATCGACAAAGCCACCACCTTCTGAAGTGTTTCTTTCCAGCTTATTGTGTTTCCTCCTGTAGTGAAGACTATTCCCGTGATTGACCTTCTGTTGTCACGATCTGCTGCATAATCAGAATCACAGTATCCCATGACCACGAAGTCTCCTTCTTTCTTGAAACTTAAACCCATATAAACCAAACCCTTGATGTACCTGAGAACCCACTTAACTGCTTGCCAGTGTTCCTTGAGTGGTTTACTCATGAACCTGCTGATGACTCCCATTGGATAAGCCAAGTCTGGACTGGTTCCCACCATCGAGTACATGATGCTTCCTACAGCACTTTGATATGAAATCTTCACCATGTCTTCTCGCTGTTTCATGAACTCTTGTTCAGAAGCTGACCTCAACTTGAAGTGAGCTCCCATTGGTGTAGCGACATACTTCGCTTGATCCATACCGAAGTTGTCTAAGACTTTCATGAGATAGCCTTCTTGAGTTATCTTCAACGGTCTCTTCTGTCGATCTCTATGAATCTCCATACCCAAGATTTTCTTTGCATCTCCTAAATCTTTCATCTCAAACTCGAAAGCCAGTAAAGCCTTCAGCTTTTGGACCTGAAGCTTATCTGTCAATGCAATCAGCATGTCATCCACATAAAGGAGAAGATAAATGTATGTATCGATCTTCAGCTCCTTGAAATACACACAGCTATCATACTCGCTCCTGTCATACCCATTCTGGATCATTAAATCATCGAACCTCTTGTTCCACTGACGAGGCGACTGCTTCAGCCCATACAGAGACCTTTTCAACAAACATACACGGTCCGGGTACTTCTGATCAATGAACCCTTCAGGTTGTTTCATCAAGATGTGCTCATCCAAGTAACCATTCAGAAAAGCTGTTTTGAAATCTAACTGCTGTAACTCCATGTCAAAATGATTAACAGCAGATAGAATGTATCTTATAGACACATGCTTCACCACAGGCGCGAATATTTCCTGATAATCAACGCCCTCCTCCTGTGAGTAGCCCTTAGCTACGAGCCTTGCTTTATACCTAGGCTTCTCAACACCAGCTATTCCAGCTTTACGTTTGAAGATCCACTTGCAACCAATGACCTTTTGTCCTTCAGGCCTGTCAACTAAATACCATGTGTGACTCTTCCAGAGTGATTGCATCTCCTCAACAGAAGCCTCTGCCCACATGTCGCTATCTGGATCACTCATCCCTGCTTGGTAATTCTCAGGTTCTGGATTCCTAGCATCTTCTGTTAGAGCACATATGTACTCCACATAGTCATTATCATCGCTGTCTTTGCTCCTCAAAAAATCCTTGAACTTCTCTGGGAGCTTAGTAGACCTCGCTGGTCTTCCTCTGACTCTTTGATTATCCCCAGAACTATGAACCTCATTCTCAGATTGACCCTCATTGTTGAAACCAACCTCTTCTTGATCCAGTGTCTCACTGTCTTGTTCAGAGTCGCTCTCTCTTGTAAATGCTCCACCTTGAGTGATATCTGCTACTTCACTACTGGTTCCTGCATCATCAAAACTCGAAACAGGATCAGTTGAAAGTATTGAAGAGTTAGTAGACTTACCTCGCTGAAGATCCTCTTTGATGCTTTTGTACATCACTTCTTCTCTGAACACGACATTGCGGCTGATGACACATTTTTGATCTTTCAGCAACCACACTCTAAACCCTTTGACACCTTCTGGATATCCGGTGAAGACCCCTTTCTTAGCCCTTGGATTCAGTTTCCCTTCATCTGAGTGAACATACACTATGCACCCGAATCTCCTTAGGCCATCAAATGAAGGCATAACCCTGAAGTCCACAACTCTTCTGGAACACGGAAGTTAAGCGCTGAGGAGGGTGATCTGTTGATCAAGTACACAGCTGTTGCTGCAGCCTCTGCCCAGAACTTCTGACCAAGCCCACTCTCGCTCAGCATACTCCTGACCTTATTTATGATAGACCTATTAAGCCTTTCAGCGACCCCGTTTTGCTGAGGTGTGTATGTGCAGGTCTTGTGTCTCACTATGCCTTCATCTTTGCAATAGCTGTCGAACTGCTTATTACAGAACTCCAATCCATTGTTCGTACGCAACTTCTTAACCTTCCTCTTTGATTATGTCTCCACCATCTTCTTCCAGTCTACGAAGTGTTTGAATGCTTCGTCCTTGAATCTCAGAAAGTAGATCCAGACCTTTCTCGAGAAGTCATCTGTGAAGGAGATGAAATATTGGCAGTTGCTAAGATTGTGCGGGACATTTGGAGATCTCCAAAGATCAGAATGCACATAGTCAAGTTTCTCCTTTGTGACATGTTGTGCTTTCCCAAAACTAACTCTGTGTGTTTTACCGATTACACAATCTTCACAAAACTTCAGGTCAGACACCTTCATATCCTTGAAACACCATTTCTCCCTAGAACTTCAAGCCCTTTCTGCCCCATATGACCCATCCTGCTGTGCCATAACTAAGTCTGATCCATCTGTTGAGCAGTGTTTAACTCAGCAACGTGGTTATCTGCGGATTTTGCTGAACCTTGCAAAACATATAACGTCTCACGTCTTGACCCTTTCATGAAGATTGTACAACCCTTTATCACCTTAAGAACTCCACCAGCTCCTTTGAATTCACAACCCTTTTCCTCCAGAGTTCCTAATGAGATCAGAATCCTCGATATATCCGGCATGTATCTGACCTCATGAAGAACAAATGTAGTTCCATCAGGGTTAACAAATCTAACCGAACCTATCCCTTTGACTTCAGCCAACGAGTTGTTTGCCATTCTCACTCTGCCTCCTTTAGCTTCTTTCAGACTAATGAAGTGATTGCTTCTTGGTGTCATGTGGAACGAGATCTCTGTGTCCATGATCCACTCATCTTGAGTGATCTCGCTCATCTTCAAGTTGACTTCTGAAGCTATTAAACCAACAAGATCCTTTGCGTCGTCTCTAGCCATAGCCAATTCACCCCTTTCTTGTGATTGGCTTCTGCTCTTGTTCTTCTCTAGCCACTTGAAGCACTGCTTCTTGAAGTGGCCCTCCTTCCCACAAATCCAACAGACTCTCTTCCCTTCCTTTGACTTAGATCTTTTCCTGTTGTGTTTTCCCCCTTCCCCGGATGTGAATTTCGACTTTCTTGTCTTCCTCTGGCGTAATAACCTTCACCATCTGACCTTGTACTTCCCGAATTCTTGAATTCTTTCTCCTTAGACTTAGCAGCATTTGTCACATCCACAAGTCTTATCGCTTCTCTCCCATACTTGAGCGTATCTTTGAGTTGATCGTACCTTGACGGCAAAGAGTTTAGGAGAAGAATTGCTTGAACTTCTTTGGGGATTTCAATACTCAGATTGCTAAGTTCTGCAATCATCTTCAGGAAATCATCAACGTTCTGATCTATCGTCTTTGATTCTTCCATCTTGTAGGAATACATCATGAGCTAAGCGTGAACTCAATTTGGTAAAGTCTTCACCATATACAGTCGCTCGAGAGTAGCCCATGTATCAGCTGCTGTAAGACACTTGTCGAGTTTCCTGAGAACTTGATCCCCGACGTTTAGGAAGATCGCATTCATTGCTCTCTCGCATCGCTCAGCTCTTGCGGCTTCTGCTTCGATCTTGACCGATACTTGCGCAGGATCTTTCTCGTCAATCTTCGATGACCCCACCTTCTCCGTAAGAACATCCTTCAGACCTTGATTGCTGAGATGCGCCAGCATCCTCTTCTTCCATAGACCAAAGTCTCCCTCTCCGTCGAATCTGTCAACCTCTCTCATGGTTGACATCGCCGATCTGCTCGAACCTTCGCCAAACCTGGCGCTCTGATACCAATTTGTGAAATCTGAATAAATATCCGATCTAAGCAAGATCTCCGAATCAACGATCAAACGAATCAATGAGTGCAGAAAAGTAAAGAAGACGCGAGTTTAACGAGTTCAGATTCCGATGTGGAACCCTACGTCTCGCCAGAGATAAAACCTCCAGAATCTCACTCTCTTCCTCACCTCTCTCGACCTAACTTTTTTGGTACAAGAGATAATAAATCTGTTAGATCTAGTCTAAGTCCTTATTCTCTCAACAATTTAGACTTACACGTGTAAACTCACACGTACGACCAACAAGCGAGTAACATCAAATGGATAAGTAAACCAAACTTGACTCTTAGCTGAATCTTTGGTTTACTCCAGCTGAAACCCAGCTGCACCAGACCAATAAACTTGGGCCTCAGATCATGACTACCACCCTTCACACGCTTTATATATTTTCAAAGAAATTAACAAAAAAAAATATATTGTTTTATGCCAAAACCAAATGAGATGACGTGTCGATCATGTAGTAAAATTAAGAAATACGTCATCTTAATTTAATCAATCGCAATAAAAATAATTTAAAAAATAGAAAAAAAGAGGTATAGTTAATAATTTTGAAAAAAGAGCAATGTTATATCTTTTTTTTCTTTGAATAAGAATACTAAAAAAGTAAAAACATTATCTTCGACAGCTGAAGAAGACCTAACCGACAAATCTCCTCCAACCACTGTGTAAACTGTAAAGCAGCACTCAATACAAAAATTTTTTTCTCTATCACCAAAAATTTTCTCGAGAAAAAAAACCTCAAATCTAATTTCCCCAGATACAAAAAACCTACTTTCTGAATCTCGACTTCCTTCACTCAAATCATGGAAATGACGACGGTTCCGATGGACATCGTCAACGACTTATTCCTCCGTCTACCGGCGAAGAGCCTCGTCCGATTTCGAGCTCTCTCCAAGCTGTGCTGCCATCTAATCGACAGTCCTGATTTCATCTCATCGCATCTCGATCGCGTCCTCCAAACCGGTGACCACCTCATGATCCTTCTGTGAGGCGCTCTTCATCTCTACACGGTGGATCAAGATTCGCTGGACTCTGTCTCCGACGTCGAGCACCCGATGAAACACGGTGGTCCGACTGAGGTTTTTGGTTCCTGCAACGGCTTGATCGGATTATCGAACTCCCCTACTGATTTATCGATCTTCAACCCATCCACCCGACAGATCCACCGGTTACCTCCTTCGCCGATCGATCTCCCTGATGGCTCGACGACTCGCGGTTACGTCTTCTGTGGATTTGGATACGACTCCGTGAACGACGATTACAAAGTGGTGAGGATGGTTCAGTTTAAGCAAGACTCGGATGATGAATTCGGTTTCAGTTTCCCTTACGAGGTCAAAGTGTATAGCTTAAAGAGAAACTCATGGAAGAGAATCGAATCTGTTTTGCCTTCGATTCAGCTGTTGTTCTACTTCTACTACCATCTCTTGTATCGTCGTGGCTATGGTGTTCTTGCTGGTAACAGTCTTCACTGGGTATTACCAAGAAGGCCTGGCTTGATTGCGTTTAATATCATCGTGAGGTTTGATCTTGCCTCAGAGGAATTCGAAATCGTTCGTTTTCCAGAATCTCTTGCGAACGGTGATGTAGATATTCAGATGGATATAGGCGTTTTAGATGGGTGTCTTTGCTTGATGTGTAACTACGATCAGAAGTATATAGATGTTTGGGTGATGAAAGAACACAATGTGAGAAGTTCTTGGAGGAAGGCCTTCACGGTTCAGAAACCCAAAACTGTGAAATCGTTTGCGTATATGAGACCTCTGGTTTATTCCAAGAACAGGGATAAGGTTCTGTTGGAGATCAACAATGCGAAGCTTGTGTGGTTTGATCTCGAGAGTAAGAAGCTTAGTACTCTTAGGATCAAAGATTGTCCTAGCTCGTATAGTGCGGAGCTCGTTGTGAGTAGCCTTGTTTTGGAATGTAAAGGAGATCTTGATAACGTTAAGTACAGGAAAGAACAACAAGCTAAAGAAGCTAGAGAAGCTCAAATGATGCACAACAGTAAAAAGAGGTCTTGTGGTTTATCTTCAATATCGTTTTTTGTTTTTTTTTCAGCTGTTTTTGTAGTGATTATGTGTCTGATGTGCTCAGTTTCTTCTTTTGTTGTCCATCTCAGGGATGATTTCTTGTCCAAGGAATTCAAACTGGTCTTATAAGCAAAAAGCAAGAGATAAAAGCAGAGAAGGTAAGTGTAACTTGGCCATTGTTAATGGTAATTTAGTTACTAGTAGACACAACTTGTCACACAAGAGTGAAATGTGAAGAGTTAAACGATCATCTGGGTTTGATTTTTTTTTTCAGGGCAAAGGAAAAATAGCGTCTACCATAGTTGGATACTACAGGGGGATAGTAATTAACAACTTAACCTAAGTTTATATGATTATATCTATAGAGAAGAGATGTTAACTTCAGTATGAGGCTTGTACTAGGACTTAAGTAAAATAAGTGTTGTTTGTAAATTGACTGAAATCTATAATTTCTGTATAAACAACTCTTTTGAAGCTTTGCGATACATCGATACTTAACTCTATGTATTCTGCTTTTAGCCTCTGCATAAATTATGATGTGGATGAATTTTATTCTTTTAGGATAAAGCAAGTAATTGCACTTTCAAATTGGATTTTTTTAGAGATATTTAGACTATCTACATTGCAGGATTCTAATAAGGTTTTAACTGAGCTTCTCATTTTAAAATATTATTAAAGGTAAAAATATTAAAGGTAGAAAAAGAGAAAATAGTCTCTTAAATGAGAAACAACTATGAGAGACTCATTGATTTAGATATAAATTACTAAGTGATCGGTCTGCACTTTGTATGGACTATAAAACATTTTAGATGTTGAATATAAAATAAATAATGTATATTAAATTTACTCTATTAATATAATCATTTAAGTATTAATAATAGCATTAAACATTTAATAATAAAAATTAATAATAACTGAAATAGAAAATGTTATTTTTCGTAATAGAAATTTTTTGATAATAAAAGTATTAATGAAGAATATTAAATGGTTCTTCAGAATAAAAAATGTAAATATAAACTGAAACTATTAAAATATATAAATAGAGTTTTAAAATATCAAAAGCATAATTATTGCATCTATATTCTCTTCATAAACTGCTCTTTGCTCATCGGTAATCATCTTTATGAGTCTTTCATATTCTTTACATTCATCTTATGTGATATAATTCTGCTCATTATCAATTAAATGATTGCCAGTATAATTATAGAAATCATCTGGCAATGGCATCTGATAATCAAAACTGAGTTTGCATTTATTGGTTTTATTAAATTTGGATTATTTTATTTATCTAGTCAAAATGTTTGATTCTGTTGTACTGCTATTGGTCAATAGTCGTTGTTAGTATTATTCCTCCTTATTTGATAGTCAATGCTGCTAATAATAAATTTATAAAACGTTTTGTATCTTTTAAAAAGAGAGAAAAAGCGTAATGATTATTTATTTATTCTATATAGTAGAAATTCTATAAATTAATAATGTTGAGACTTTGATATTTTATTAATTTATAACGTTATTAATTTATCAATTTTGGATACAATAATTTTTTATAAATAATATTTTCTTTCAAAATTATAATATCTTTCAAAATTTTCATTATGAAATTTGAGATAAATGATAAAAATGTTTCAATTTTAATATGAAAACAGTAATATACTCATATTTTATTAGATTATCATAATTATATATTTATATTATATTTATGAATTTATGATTCTAATGGGACTATATTTTATATAGATTTTCAAAAAAAAAATTATTATCTTATTAATTTATTGATTTATATTAAATTTTGAACCAGTCCAACTCGGGACCGAACAAAATTATTGATCTATCGAGAATATTAATTTATCAAGTTTATTAATTTATCGAATATTAATTTATAGAATTTCTGTTGTATAATGTTAATATTTCCAGAGCAAAATTAATTATTTGGTTTCATAAAAATCCGTTAATTAAATTATCAGAGCAAAATCTCTTTTTGAACCTGAAAATAATTTTTTTAATTTTTATTTCCAGTATCCAACATTAAGATAATTATTTGTAAATAAGTGTTGTTTGTAAATTGACTGAAATCTAGAATTTCTGTATAAACAACTCTTTTGAAGCTTTGCGATACATCGATACTTAACTCTATGTACTCTGCTCGTAGCCTCTGCATAAATTATGATGTGGATGAATTTTATTCTTTTAGGATAAAACAAGTAATTGCACTTTCAAATTGGATTTTTTTAGAGATATTTAGACCATCTACATTGCAGGGTTCTAACAGGGTTCTAACTGAGCTTCTCATTTTAAAATATTAGTAAAGGTAGAAAAAGAGAAAAGAGTCTCTCAAATGAGAGACGACTATGAAAGACTCATTGGTTTAGATATAAATTGTAATTTAAAACTAAATAATAAAATTAAATAATATAAAAAAATTATTATAAATTTGGTAAGAGACTCTTATTGAGAGACTCAGCACTGTAAATGTTCTAAAGAAGGCACTTCTAAGAAAATGATTACAAAATAAGGCACTTAAGGGAAGTGAGGCACTATTCAAACATAATCTACCTATTTTATACTAACAAAATCTTTCAAATTTATTGAAGTTGGTATTATAGACAGATGTTGATGGATGACGATATCATGAATTGCATATATTGATTAGCAATGATCAATGATAGATGAGTAATAGTGAACGAATATTGGTGGATGAATATTGGTGGATGAGTCGTGATAGATGAGTTGTCCACAAAAGTTCATCCACAAAAAATGTGCCAAAAATAATTAGACAAATTCAAACAATACATGTTTGACTGTCCACGAAAGCTTAAATATTTTGTAATGTGAATGTGCAGATGAATGTGTAGGCGTGGACGAATAATCTAACTTATCCATATAAACATGTATACTAAGCTATTCAAAACAAACACAGCCACACAATAAAAATACGTCTATACACACTCGTCCACGATTATTTGAACATAGTTGTGTGGACATGATTATGTGGATATGTTGGTGTGAATGCATAATTTTGAAGTGCAAGACATGTTTATATGATGATTAAGTATATTCTCAAGTATATGAAAAATAATATTGTATACATTGTTTAATGTAATAACATTTAGAATCGTTGTAAAAAGCATATATAAGAGCAAATATAAGAAAGATTGTACATAAGCAGATATAAAAAAGATTATAAATCCGATGTTAGATTTGTGGATGGTAGATCTTGGACAACTGTCTATAAAATTGTCTGCGAAGGTTCATCCACTTCGTCCACAATAGAATTAGTTGTCTGTGAAAGTTTATCTACGCACATTCATCTATAACAATTGTTGTCATTCACACACATTCGTTTGTCCATATCGGTTATTTTACTAAATGATAAAAAATATTTTTTTACACATATAAAATATTCTAATTCATCAAAATACTTTAATTTGTTATTGAAGTTTGGCAAAGTGTTTTCTTATGTAAATTTCTTTTTTTTATTGCAGTTCAGCACCACGATTGAATGCATGATTTTGAAGTGCAAGACATGTTTATATGATGATTAAGTATATTCTCAAGTATATGAAAAATAATATTGTATACATTGTTGTAATAACATTTAGAATCATTGTAAAAACATACATAAGAGCAAATATAAGAAAGATTGTACATAAACAGATATAAAAAAAAGATTGTACATCCGATGTTATATTTGTGGATGATAGATCTTGGACAACTGTCTATAAAGTTGGCTGCAACTTCGTCCACAATCGAATTAGTTGTCTGTGAAAGTTTATACAAACACATTTGTCTATAACAATTGTTGTCATTCACGCACATTCATTTGTCTATATCGGTTATTATTACTAAATGATAAAAATATTTTTTTACACATCTAAAATATTCTAATTCATCAAAATATTTTAATTTATTATTGAAGTTTGGCAAAGTGCTATCTAATGTAAATTTTTTTTTTATTGCAGTTCAGCATCACGATTATAAAATTGTCATATTTAGGAACACCAAACGAAAGTTTCTGGTATTTAAAAAAAAAATAAGTTTCATCAAATATTTCTTTTGTTCTACAATAAATATCGCATTCTTCAGACAAATTAACCATGTATGTAGATAAGATTTTTATTAACTTTCTTAAAAAAAAAAAATTATTCTTGACTTTTGGTATAAGTTTGATATTTTGGAAGTGAAAAGAAAAAAAAAAAAAAACGTAAAGCGACATTTATTTGAAAAACGATGAAAATCACAAGAAGACATTTCATTAAAACGGAAAGAGTATGTAAAAATTTACAATATCCGTAAAAACAGTAGTATTTTAGTAAATAAAAATATTTTTGACTAAGCGAAAAGTTCCCATTTTTAAAGAGTCAGAACAACAGTCCCAAACCGTTTTTCATTGATTTTGTTTCTTTATCGGATTAAACGAGGATTCCGTTTTTAACCCAAATTAACACATGTAATTATGGGGAAACTTTCTCTAAAAATCTTCGAAAATATATTATATATTAATTTATAATGTAAAAATGAAAAAGTGTGTTCCTCTGGTTAAGTTAACTATGGCGTAGATAGAGAAGAGATTGAAAAGACGGCTTAAACCCATAGGAAACCTCCGATCATCTTCTCTCTGTCGCTTCCGCTTCCTCCTTCTCGCCTTTACATACACCTATACACGGAGTTATTTCCGTCTACTACTTTTTCTCGCCGTCGATTGGATTAGATTTTCACCTTCCGGCGGCGATAGAGGGGATTTTCGTCTCCCGATGACTCTAACCCGTTTCATAGGCGCAGATTTCTCAAACTCTCGCCGATCCTCTTTCTCCGCCGTGGCTGGAACCGATAATCTCAAACGGAAATTCGACGATTTCGTCTCATCGTCCCCTGATCACGGCGTCGATCTCCTCCAAAAGATGAAGAGGCACGAGGTCGACGCCGATCACATGTCGGCCTCTCAACCACCGCATGAATCGTCGGGATCCGGTGACAATTCCGGCCTGGATCGACCGTTTTCTTCGGCCTCGGAGTGCTCCTCCTCCTCCTCTTCTGTTCCCGAGTCGTCCGAGTTATCCGAGTCGACTCGGTTACAAATCCTCGTCAAGATGATGTCAGGTAAAACGATCGTGATCCAGGCCGATCAAAACGACACCGTGGAGAAGCTTCACCAGAGAATCGAGCTGAGAACTGGAATCCCGGTGATCGAGCATAGGGTTATCTACAGAGGTAAGCAGCTTCAGTTCGAGCATACTCTCAGCTACTACTCCATCGAGCAAGACGCTTCTCTCCAACTCGTCGGACGGATGCGGAGCACGGAGCACCCCGTGGCTTGGCAAACTATCGAGGACATCATGCGCACCGTCGTGCAAATGCTCAAAGGCGAGACTGAGAACCGCGACGGAGCCTTGTCCGTCAGCAACATCAACGAGAAGCTCGTCGCGTTTTTCGCCGAGATTCCTGTGAACAGCAACGATTCTAGTGAGGTGTACCTCAAGATTCTCGCGAGCTCTTCGGTCCCAGTTGGTCTGGTGATGCTCTACGCTTCAAATTTAGAGATTAACAAATCCTGCGGCAAGAGCTCCATTAAGCTCTTCTTCAATAGTTGCATAGGTCTGCCAAGGGATCAGCAGACCTTTTGTTTCCCGATCGTGTTGGAGTTTGGTAGGTTGCTTAGGAGAGCTTGCCCTAACAACAAGCTCTACGTGTCTTGCCGGAACACCTTGGGATCAATGCTGGAACTGCTTCTAGGCTGTAAAAGATTCGAGTGTAGATTGTTGAGCTTCGGTGTGGAGCTTTTCCCGTTCTTTATCGAGCTGGTTCATCTTGTGGTGAAAGAGATGGTCGATGACGAAGGGCCTAGTTCATGTGACGTTCATAAACTCACTTTCTTTTGGCAAGCCTTGAAGATAGTCACTGAGTTCCATGCCTCTGGCTCGCTTCCCATTGCTTCACCTCGGGGAAACACTGTACTGGATGTGGAGATCGAACATGTTCGTCTGTTGCTCGGGATGTTGTTGGCTACGATGGACAATTCTATGGCGAGGATCGAAGCTTTGTTGGGTGGGAGAGGAGCTGCCAACACTGAAGCCATGTCTTCGAAGTGGTCTCAGTATCTTACTCTCCTGAAGGTTATCAGTTCCATATCTGATGTCTATGTAGGTGCTAAGGAACAGGTAGTTTCTCTTTTAAATACCAGGAAGGTTTCGTTCTGCGCACTCGTTTTGAAATTCGCGAAAAGAGGTGAGGATCACCAGTGGATCTTTGAGTATAAGGAAGCTACGACCTTTGAATCTAGGAGGCATCTGGCGATGCTGTTGTTTCCTGACGTGAAAGACGAGTATGATGAGATGCACGAAATGCTCATTGATCGGTCCAATTTGTTAGCTGAATCGTTTGAGTACATTTCGGGAGCAACCCCTGGGGCACTTCATGGTGGTCTGTTCATGGAATTCAAGAATGAGGAAGCTACAGGTCCTGGTGTTCTGAGAGAATGGTTCAATTTGGTGTGTCAAGAGATATTCAATCCGCGAAATTCCCTCTTCCTTCGATCTGCTGATGATTTTAGAAGATTCGCTCCAAATCCAGGTAAGCTATGTTACAATCCTCATGACATCACTAGACTATGTACAAGTGAATTTGGACCTTGCTTGAACATTCATATCGGTTCGTAGAATCCTGAGAACATATTTAGTATGTCAGTATTGCATATGATGTATAGTTCCTACTTCCTACCGTGCTTGTAATTCGATGAACGAGAGTATTCAGATATACGATTGTTGTTGTGTCATCTTGGGATCTATATACTGAAGGGTTTACTAGTCTAAACGTAATCATGTATCCTTATTAATTGTGGTGCGTCTTTACTTGCTTAACAATCTAAAAAGGGAGCATCAGTGAGTTTAAGTTATTTAAGAAGCCATTAGAAGCAAGAACCAAATCTTAAGCATGTTTACTCTTTGCTCTAGATAATGATATTTGAAGGTTTGTCTTTTATTTAGTATACCGTATATAGTTCCTACCTTGCTTGTAATGAGTATACACTTCAGATCTAAACGATTGTTGTTGTATCATCATAGTGTCTATATACTGAAGTGTTTACTAGTAGAAGCAAGAACCAAATCTTAAGCATGTCACCCGTTGCTCTAAATAATGGTATTGAAGTTTTCTGTCTTATTATATTTAGCATCCAAGGTGGATCCATTGCATCCCGACTTCTTCGAGTTCACAGGCCGTGTGATTGCCTTAGCTCTGATGCACAAAGTCCACGTGGAGGTGCTGTTCGACCGTGCTTTCTTCTTACAGTTGGCCGCAAAAGATATTTGTCTGGAAGATATAAAGGACACCGATCTCATCATGTACAAGAGCTGCAAGCAGATTCTAGAAATGGATCCAGCGTTCTTCGACGCAAACGCAGGTCTTGGTCTAACGTTTGTATTGGAAACAGAGGAGCTGGGAAAAAGGGAAACGATAGAGCTACATGAAGACGGGAAATCAACTGCTGTTACCAGCGAGAACAGGGAAGAATACGTCAAACTCCTAATCAATCAACGGTTTGCCAAAACAATCTCAGAGCAAGTAAAGCAATTCTCCAAAGGCTTCTGCGATATCCTTTCGGATACCAAATCGACCAACTCCTTCTTCAGTGGACTCTACCTAGAGGATCTCGATGGGATGCTTCGAGGAGGCGAAAACCCGATAAGCATCGATGATTGGAGAGCGCATACAGAGTATAATGGATTCAAAGAGACTGATCGACAAATAGACTGGTTCTGGAAGGTATTAATACCTTATAAAGCTCAACTTTTCTTGATTAATAACTTTGGAACAGAGATTTTTTTCTGTTTAATCCATTTTTGTTTTTTTGTTTTTTTGTGTAGATTATGAAGAAGATGACAGAGGAAGAAAGGAGGAGTGTACTCTTCTTTTGGACATCGACTAAGTTTATACCAGTGGAAGGTTTTAGAGGGTTATCATCAAAGCTTTACATATATAGGTTATATGAAGGTAATGATCGTCTTCCAGTGTCGCACACATGCTTTTACCGTCTCTGTTTACCAAAATACCCGACGATTGCTCTCATGGAACAACGTCTTCGTTACATCGCTCAAGATTATGTCAGCTCCAGTTTCGGTAAATGGTGAAATTAAAGGATCAAAGTAATCTCTATGTCTCTCTCTCTCTCTCTCTGACCTTGTTTAGGTTCGTAGATTGGTGCTTTTGGTGTATAGATTTTAGCTTTTGGTCATTCTCTGTTTATGACCGGGTGAGAAAGGTGGTAAAACCTTTCGTAATTTATGTTCGTCACTTAATGGGTAAATTAATTTTGTAAACCTATAAAATGACAAAAGTTGGAAAAAAGGGTGTCGTTTTTGGTGTTTTGTTCATTTGTTGATCGAATCATGTAAGACAGAAGGGCTTAGTGTATCAACAGTTCTCTTGTTGATTGTTGAAGAAAACGGTGTCGTTTTTGGTGTTTTGTTGATCGAAACATGCAAGACTAAGCCTTAAGGGTTTAGTTTATTCATAGTTCCTTTGTTGGTTATTGTATAGTAACACAAAAACAAAAGTTTTGTTTAACAGTTCTTGTAATCTAATTAACACAAGTGGAACCAAACTTAAAATACAGGAGACTCTTCCACTACGATTTTTGTAATTTGTGTTTAAGAATTGAATTTGATTACAAGAACTGTTTGTTTTTAAAAACTCTTTTGAACAGAGTCAACAGGCAAACAACAAACTCTCTGTGAGAGCATCTCAACTGTCTCATCATATAAACAAGATAAAAAAACCAGAAAATTATTATATTAAATATCATTACAATAATCATACTAGCATATGAATTATCTTATTAATACCCGAAACTCATCACCTTATATTTCATGAAATATAAGGATTTAACAAAAAGGAAAAGGAAATGTTCTCATGGGTTAAAAAAAAAACTTATTACACTGTCTGGACTTCAACAGTCTTCTCCTCTTCTGCCGCCGACTTAACATCTTTCTCCTCCACAGCTGCCGGAACTTCAACCGGTTTATCCTCTTTCACCGGAGCTGTCTCGGTTTCTTCTTTGATTTCAACTTCAACCGCCGTGGTTGAGTCATCATCAGCATGAAGAGTTTCCTTAGACGTCTCGATCGTTGGCTGGGTCGTTGTCTTGTCCTCTGTGTTTTGTACTATTTTCTCAACCTGCGGTAAGAAATCGATTGAGCTTTGCGTCATGAAACCATAATTATCAGCTATTATACTCAAACTAATGGTGATGGACTCTTTACAAATTCTACAAACAAAAAAATTGAGCTTTCTAAACAAAAAAAAAGGAAAGATAATAAGCTAAACAACGATTCACCCCAAAAAGTAGTAAATAGTTACCTCAACACCAGCCATTTGGAAAATCTGAAGAAGAAAAAATATGAACAATGGGAAGAAGAAGTGTGTGTGTATGTAGAAAATGAGGGAGAGTTGTGAGTGAGTTAAACGAAGGGAAGGAGGGTATTTATAGAATTGATCTTCAAAAAGTAATAAATAAAATGAAATTAATCTAAAGTTTATAATTATAATTGTTGAGCATATTGATGAAGACTGATGTGTCATATTTACAGGTACACTAAGAAAAATACCGTGTAAACTACCTCTTATGATGCTTTAAAGTGTTTGAATTGATCTTCAAAAGGTAACAAATAAAATTTAAAATTGTTGAGCATTATAACTGAAGACTGATGTGTCATATTTACAGCTACACTAAGAACAGCACTAAATATTGTGTAAACTATACCTCTTTATTAAGTTTTCGACAAAGGTCTCTTTTATACAACAGATGATATTATTAAGTTTTCGGTGTGGTACTGGTACACATGTATAGATGATACTCATCCGTCATTGTTATGCTTTCATTTTCATCTTTTTGCTTTTTTTTTCTTTTTACCAGATTTTATTTCTCTACTTTTAAAGTTCAGTTCTCTCACGTCACCTCTTTTATTATCTGTTTATTCCTTCTAGTTCTTTTGAACTATTGCTTCCTCCAAGTTCGAATGTTTTCATATTCAGACAAATCTTTACAGAACAACGAATCATTCGATTCCTTTCTTGCTTTAGTGTTTTATTTTGATACTTTGTTTGAAGAGAACTAACACTCACTTTGCTTTTGCCAATATATATAAAAGAACCAAGAAAGCAAAAATATATACATATGGAAACATCGGAGTATAAACAAAAATTTAACAACGTGCCGTGATTAGCAAGTAATTAACAAGATTTATAACCACACGAGATCGGACACCATAATTAGTGAGAGATCAAGGTCTTGGGTTTGATTTCACCACTCAGGATCCTATCAGTTCCTTCATGTTCAAATGCTGATTACTAGAATGAATTTTGATTACTAAAATGCTGAATGTGATCATAAGCTGATCAGCTGAAACATTCACCGTTGTTGATTACTATAATGAATTCTATAAACTCAGAGTTCCAATGTATATTGACGATCTTATATACAAAAATATTGTGGAAAGTTATTTGGCACACAAGAATTAAAGTAGTCGTTCTAACTTCTAAGTTCTAAGCAAGCACACAAGATCTTTCCCTAATTCAAAACAAGGAACAACGATTGGCTCATAGATATCCTTCTTTTTGTATAAATCTATACACAATCTTTGGAGATGTTTAGTTATTCAAAATTCAAGGAAACTTTTTTATCATAATTTGCGAGTCTTCCTTACATTCAAAATAGATATCGACTACAAGATATATCCATTTCATAGAATGATTTCAAACCTCAAGACAGAGATAATAAGTATTTTATAGTCAAAAAGAGATAAACATATACATTCAAGAACCAAATAAACTATTGCCATAATATGCAGGAGTTTCGCTTACATTCAAAAAACATATTCACAAAAAACTCCAAGATATATCCATTCACAAAATAAAATGAATGTAAACATTACAAACAGAGAAACTGAGTATTTTCTAGTCAAACAAAGATGTAGACATTCAAGATTCACAGAAATACTACCATAATCTACAAGAGTCTCTCTTACATTCAAATTAAGTATCTAAAGAGACTCCAAAATATGTTCATTTCATAAAATGAATACAAAGATCAAAACATTGATAACAAGTAATTTCTAATCAAACAGAGATAAATTACACATTCTAGTTTCAACCTACGTACAAATACAATCAAGATATGGTTTAACAATATCTTGAATGCAAAGCATAGAACAATTAAGTTAGTGTTTGAAACATTCAAAGACCTAACAATATCTTTTGGAAAAGTTTAACTATCCATATAGACACATATGAACTCTTATATAGTTGTGTATAAATTAGGATAAACATACAATAATAATATCCTTCAGAAAATTCTATCAATTTGCCAACTATTCCAAATATTATGATGCAAATAAAACAAGATGTTTAACATCTAACCATACAAAGCAAAGCAAGATCATAATCAATCTTAACAAAGAATAACCAATAGATGATTGGACAACCAAATGCAGAACTGTGTTAACCTGACATATCTCATAATCTAAGAAAAAAAACATACAGAAAACAATGTTATTAACAAAATCTTTGGAGATGTTTAATTATTCAAAAATCATGTAGGCCTGCTAGTTCGGTTTATTTAGGTATTTCGGTTCGGTAGTTTGGTTCGTGAGAATTTTATCAAAGATAAATGAAATAAATTACGGTTCGGGTATTAATTTTTGTAATAACCAAAGTTTTTGGTTTTTCTTTCGTTAAAATCAGTTAAATTCGGGTAAATTTGGACTCGGATCGTTGTTCTTATTATAAAAAGTGAATCCATTTAAACTGTAATAAACTAATACTATGGTTCGGTTATTTCGGGTTGGTTCGGAAGTAAATTACAATCAAAAGAGTTTATAAGTTTTCAAAGCATACTAACAAATAGTGCATTCGTCAATGGGTTCATTGAGAATGCAACAACCTACAAATACAATCATGATATCTTTTGGAAGAACTTTAACTATCCATATAGACATAGATGAACTCTTAGATAATTGTGTATAAATTAGGATAAACATACAATAATAATATCTTTAAGAAAGTTTTATTAATTTACCAACTATTCCAAGAATTATGATGCAAAAATGAAACAAAATGTTTATCATCCGACCAAAAAGAAAAACAAGATCATAATCAGTTTCAAAGAATGACCAATGGACAAGCAACCAAAATGCAGAACCGTGTTAACCTGACATATCTCATAATCTATTACAAGAAAAAAACATACAGATAACAATGTTATTAACAAAACTAACATCTAAAACAACAAAACGAGAGGTGCAAGATATAGATACAGATATACTAAAAAGTTAGCAAAACATAACTTCACGAACTCTTATATATGATAGTAACTCAATGTGCTACTTTAGCAGTAACAAATAGAAAACTAGATTTTGTACATCAACCCTTTCTAATCGAGAGTCAAAAACTTCCAACTCTAACAACTATTTATAGCAAACAGAATATAGAAGAACTAAGCACCTATATATGAAGATATTAGAATTCAGATATTTGCCAGTTTCTTGATTCTGACATAAATCGTAGAAAGATTCATTGCACATTCAAAACAAATACACAAAAAATTAATAGATTCCCAAGCTCCATCTACTCTGTCAAGACAAAGGAATCAAGTAACAGAGACATTGGAATTATAATATAAATATTTTCAATCATTTTATTGTAAACAACTCAAGTCAAGACTAGCACAATAATCACCAATGTAAGATGCATGATGCAGATTGTCATTATGCATGTTTGGAATGATCGCCAAGGGTTTAGAGCAGCATAATGCAAAACAAATACATTCAAGTTTCAAAGAAACTTTTTAACACAATTTGCGAGTCTTGCTTACTTTCATAGAATGAATACATACCTCAAGACAGAAATAATAAGTATTTTCTAGTCAAAGAGAGATAAACATATACATTCAAGATTCAAATAAACTATTGCCATCCCATAATCTCCAAGAGTTTCGCTTACATTCAAAAAACATATCTACAAGATGTGGTTTCATAAAATAAAATGAATATAAACATTAAAACATAGATAATGAGTACTTTCTAGTCAAACAAAGATGTATACATTCAAATCAAGTATCTAAAGAGACTCTAAAATATTGAAATGAATACAAAGATCAAAACATTGATAACAAGTATTTTCTAGTCAAACAGAGATAAATTATACATTCTAGTTTCAAAGATCAAAACATTTTAAATCTGTTTGATTTTCATATATGCTAATATCAATCAATCAAAGATTATTGACAAACACTAAACACAAAAATGTAACGTAACCAATACCAAATGTAAGATCTGCTCTTCTATCAATGCTTATTAACAATAAGTTTCTCTACTATATCAAGGATAAATAGTCATATTGTCAAAACGTCTATATAAGAAGTATTTCTTTTATAAATGGCACTTAGAAGATAGAACTTATTTTTTAGTTTCTTTAAACCTGTTTGATTTTCATATATGCTAATGTCAATCAATCAGAGTTAAGGCTAGAAAAGAATATACCTGCTCACAAAATTTTGCTACACTTGAAAATGCTTTTGGCGTCCATGACAAAAGCACATACCTGAACAAATCAGAATTAGTCTTCACATAAGTTTCATGAACTCATTAAAAGAAAGTTTTGAAAGCACATACCTGTCACATAAGTCTGTTATACTTGAAATCTCTGCAGAGTCTATAATAACTTGAACAGCTTCTGACCTGAAAAAAACAGAATTAGTTAGTCTTTTCTTCACGTAGATGCTTTGGGTAGTGTAAACAATCGTTTTTTGATTTGTATTCTTTTCAGCCTACTCCTTCTCTCCATCCAACTCATAGTCTTTGGCTACTTTTAAGTCTTGTGGTTATCGAACAAGAATAGTCTCAGTCCATAGTCTTTAAGCCGTTGGTCTTTTTTCAATACCACAAATCGTTAGTTGTTTTTAGTCCAAACTGAACCAAAGTCTTTGTATCTAAGCCGTGTGATCAAGTAAGAATCTTTTCTCGATTCATAATCTTTGTCAAAAGTATTTACCTTATGTCTTCTTTAAGCCGCAGGTTCTTTTTTTTCTTTACAACACATCGTTAATCGTTTTTTTTCCATCCAACAACTCTTCTTTATGCCATTTAGTCGTTGCAGTCTCTGCTTAACACTTGTGGTTATTACAAAGAGTTTCTCCTTTCCGTCTTTTGTCTGATTCTTTGCAGTCACTCTTTGTCTTTGTCTTAAGACTTCTTTAAGCCGTTGGTTATTTTTTCCCCATCCCACAAGTTTTTGTCTCAGTTCAGTCTATTCTCTTTGCCTTTAGAGTTTTTGTAAGCCGTGGGTAGTAAGAGTAAGGAATCTGTTTTGTTCAATTATAGTCTTTGCCTTGAGTTTGTCTAGGGATTTTTAAGCCGTGAGGCATCTGCTTTCGATCGAGAGTCTTTGTCTTGAGACTTTCTTAATCATCTTTCAATTCAGAGGCATCTGTTTTCAATCTTCCTTAAGACATGCACTACTAAACCCATATATCGCAACTATTGGTCTTTCTTGAAAGCCAACCCATACTCTTTGTCTACGTTAACGCTTTGTGGTTATCACAAAGACATATATCTCGGTTCAGTCTTTGTCTGAAGACTTCTCTAAGAATTTGGTCATTTCTTCTTCATCCAACAACTCTTCTTTAAGCCATTACTCGTTATTTTCTAATCCGTGAAACCGGTTTTCCTTGAAGTCTATGCTTCAGCCTTGTGGTTATCACAAAGAGTTCTTGATTCAGTCTTTGTCTTAAGACTTCTCTATTCAGTTGCTCTGTTTTTTTCCATCCAACAAGTTTTCTTTGAGTTTCTTTAAGCCATTGGTTGTTTGTAAGCCGAGGGTAGTAATCTGATTTCAGTTTATAGTCTTTGCCTTGAGACTTTGTTATCTTCCAGTACATAGTTTTTGTCTAGAGACTTTTAAGCCGTGGGTTTTCAATCCAGAGTCTTTGCCTTACGACATTCTCCCTTACACATGCACTACCAACTCTTTCTTTGCCTTAAAGATCAACTTTTGCTTAATCCCTCGTTATCTTCCAATTCAGAGTCTTTGTCTTGAGACTTCTTTAAGCCATTGATTGTCTTTGCCTTTAGAGTTTTTGTAAGCCGTGGGTTGTAGTCAAAGTGAGGCATCTGTGTTCAATCCATGAGTCTTTGCCTTAAGACATTCTCCCTTAGACATGCACTACCAACTCTTTGTTTGCCTTAAAAGACTTTCTTAATCCCTCGGTTATCTTCCTTTTGCCTCAAGTCTTTGTCTAGAGACTTTTAAGCCATTGTAAGTAAAAGTGAGGCATCTTTTTTCAATTTATAGTCTTTGCCAGAGACTTTTAAGCCATCGGTAACTTTTTTTCAATCCAGAGTCTTTGCCTTTAAGACATTCTCCCATAGACATGCACTACCAACTCTTTGTGTCTTTTTCTTAATCCCTCGTTATCTTCCATTTCAGAGTCTTTCTTTGCCTCAAATCTTTGTCTAGAGACTTTTAAACCGTTGTAAATAAAACTGAGGTATCTGTTTTCATTTTCATAGTCTTTGCCAGAGACTTTTAAGCCATCGGTTTCATTTATTTTCAATCCTGAGTCTTTGCTACATGCACCACCAGCCCATATATCATAATCTTGCAACGGGACAATGTTCCCAAATAAGAATCTGACAGAACACTATCAAATGAGTGTCTGCATATGATCTTATTTGGGGTTGAAAGAAAAAACAAAAACCTTTTCAAACAAAACCAAAAGTTACAGAGTATCCGTAGGACATTAGAAGAATGTCTCTACCTAATCTCTTGAATAAACACAAAGCTTTTTGAAAATCTTCTTATAAAAGAGGGATTTTTGTTGTTGTAGAAAAGAAAAATATTGATTTCAAAACCCCCAAGACATCATCGATGTCAATTGCTTAAATGAAGATAAAATCTCACATCAGATGTCTTTGTCCTCAAAGACACAAAAATTCAGGAAAACAAAACCAAAAACAAAGCCTGCGACAAACAAAACGAGAAACTTTAGCATAGACAGAGAATTTACCAGTTTCAAGCGGAGTCAAGCAAGCTTCTAGGTTTCTTCTTTTAACCAAGATCACTGCAAAGAATTGAATTTTGAGCGATTAGGAAATTTGACAACCCAAAAAAACAAAACCACAATCAATACAACAGCATAAGACAAGAATGATTATTCAGAAACTTAGAAACTTAAAAAGATACGAACACCGATGGACTTGAAAGAACAGAAGCCAGTGAGTTTCCTCCTCTATTATACAACAGACTCCAAGCAATATAGTATCATGTGTTCATAGCAAAACCATGTGCAGACACTAACTAAGGAGACATTGTACAAGAGAAAGAAGTTGGGAGATTGCCTGGTGAATAACGATTGCTTGGTTCAACACTTGTCTGCAAAACCATTTGGGATTTTGGGATTTCCTGAAATATAAGATCCAACACACAAACGCTATGAATGTAGTGAAGATACACAGATCTTTCCGCAAGAAACACATACAGGCACTAGCTGATGAAATTTCAGAAGTTCCGACGAGAAACGGAGAACCCAAACATAAAAAAAGAGAATTTACCTCAACGGAATCATGAGGAAGCTTCGAACGAAAACGGGAATTAGAAACCCTAACCAAGATCACTGCAAATAATTAAAACTTTGAGCGATTAAAAAGTCTGAAAAAGGCTAAAACGAAATCGCGATCAGTACAACATAAGAAAGATTACACGAAACTTGATCGCTGCAGATGATGGAAAAAAAAATTGAACCGATTAAAAACTTGGAAACTCTCTAACAAGATCGCGAATCAGAGATACTCAGAGACCCTCTCATGAATTACACAGAAAAAAAAACGAAACACTTACTGATTCTAAGAAGGTGAACGGATTTTCCGGTTTTGCAAGAGCAATTGCTCAAAGAAAAAAATTAAGAAGGAGAGAAAATTTGGGAAAAGATAGAAAAGAAAAGGGGTTTTCGTGATCAGCTGTGGAAATAAAAAGGGGTTTTGATTGCGTTTGATAAACACGCTTTTCCTAACGGTTATATCTCAAAAAAAATGTTTTGCGTTTGATATATAAGATAACGTTTTTTAACGGTTACATTTTGAAATAGAGAGAGACGATTTTAATTGTAATCGAACCGGTCCTGCATTTTCAGAAAGGAATCTTAACCGAACCGGTCCTGTATTTTCCACCTAAACCGAATCGTTCCTGTGTTTGATTTTACCTCATCAGAATCAGAGAATTTTAGTTTTCTTTGGTTCTTCCTCGACGACTCAAACGACACACGAGAAACTCAGGCAGCCGAATCAAAAGCCACTTTGATGCAGATATTTGAAACACTAGACATTTGTCTAATGGCTTAATATAGCCAAGATTTGTAGCTCTCTATAACGGTTTTGGTTGATCCATGAGCTTCAGCTTCGTGCGCAGAGAGACTTGATTTTGGAGGGTGAAGCAGAAACTTGGTTTCAAATTCAATAGCCATTCTTCTTTAAATTCCATTGATGGCATCACAAAATTTAGGTTTTGCAGATATGATTGTTTGCCTAGGTTTAAGGAGCATAATCTTATTATGAGTCATAGAGATTCAGACAAACAGATACCAGAAAACAAGAACAGATACCAATTCAGCAAATTGTCTTAAACCAACAACAAAATTTCAATGAAGTGCATAAACACTAGTCCAGAGTCGAGAGGGAATAAAAAGACATATAACCACAAGAGGCGAATCAACGAAGTCTCCTGGCTTCTCTCTCGGACTCGAGCAAAGTGAGGATGTCGCCTTCTCTCACGGGTCCTTTAACATTGCGCATAATAAAACGATCAGAGTCCGTGAACTTGACTCGAACTTGAGTAACCTGACCTCTTGATCCGGTACGACCCATCACTTTGACCACCACGGCATGCTTGATCTGAGAATCCATTCTTCTTTACTAAACACAAAGCATACAAATTCAGAGAACCAATAACATCAGAATTCACATAATGAATGCATTCAAAAATCACAAGTAGTAAACTTTACAGGAAATAAACTAAAGAGCTAAATCTGCGAAGAATTATTATCCTATTCTCATGAGAAACAGTGACTCAATTTGGAAAATCTTAGCACGCGACTAGTGATTGCCAACTGATACAAAGCAAAATCAACAGGATTTGAATTTTTAGCAAACAGAGCGAAATCCTCCACTAGTAGATTCGAGAAAAAATAGAAATGACGATTTAGCAGAAAAGTTCTAGAAGAGAATGCAACACAGATGATTCTAAACGACGAAGAAACCTGAGGTAAGAGCTTTGCGGCGACAAGCGAAGAGTTAAAAACCCTAATTTCTGGAGAAGCGAGAAAGAGGACCTCTTCGGATTCTTTTATAGGGGTGGTTTATTTTGTGACTCGGTTTAAAACCTGGTAACAACCCTCGATTTGGTTTGGTTTTCAATGACCGAATCGATTCGTTAATTATATCCGGTTCTCTGAATTGAAATATAGGCCTCCTCCATACAAAGCGTGGGCCAATTGGATATCTTTTTTTTTTTATGAATTGATCCGTTCCAGATCTTATCGAAATAGACCGAAGCTATCCAAAATCGGTTATACCTGCTAAACCAAATCGTACCAAAATTAAACCGGAAATTGATCGTATCTGGAGAACTTTGTATAGAGAGCATTGTTGTTACAACAAAAAGAAGTAGAGCAGAAGCAGAATCGGAATCTACCAGCTGAAAAATATAAGTGTGTAGATTTGGTTTCATGTCAAAGTTTCTACAGAGTTTGTCTGGTTTCAACATTTGTGTCCGGAAACCACATATCTCGTCTTTGTCTCTCTCTCTACTTCACGAGCTTTCTTAATACGGATTCTGCGCGTTTCTCGAATCGAGGTAGAGCCCATTCGTGCTGAATTATATCGAGACCATCTTTCTCTGCACTCAAGCTCTGATAAGAAAAAAATTCAATGCAAATGATAATGAATCACGTATTGGCCAAAGATCGAAAATGAATCATAGAGTAAAATTTGAACAACACTTTTCGAGATTGATCACAAGGAAGGTTAATGAATACCTTTGATGCATCAAATCCAAACCCACCCATTTGCATCATACGTTGCGTGTCATCAATGGCTGCAAAAGAAGCAAAATGTATACTTTAATTACGAAAACTTGTAAAGAGTTCTAGATTTTGAAGAATGTGGAGCAAAATTAGTAAAAGTGAAAATCTACCATTTTCATCTCCGAGGATGAGACTGAACAAGCCTCTTAATCCAAACAAGTTCAAGAAGTACCTGAAACGTGAATGAAAAGCTCATGAAACAAGGGAAATGGCAATATACAAAGGAAGCAAGTAGGGAAGAGGACCGAGATAAAATTGAATCCTTTAATGTATTTTGGGTACTTACCACGAACGACTACTCACGTAGCTAACATCGACAGTGCTCAAGTCAATGCCATTCTGTAACATAGATCTGAACCTCTGAGTCAGTGGAAATGGTATTTTGGCTGCATGATAAACGAAGAAGACTCAGATGACTAATAAAAACTTGCATAGACTAGAGAATCAAGGAGACGATCAGTGTAACAATAAAGGCAGAAACTTTTCAATAGGAGGCAAACCTGCAACAAATCCAGAGAAGAAGAAGTTGACCCATGCGAAAGTGAGTGTCTGCAAAAAATGTTAAAGTTATATCAGTTTCCCATATCACAAACTAAAGTAAAGACAGAGATGAAAGTTTCCAAATTCCATCAACCTGTGGAATAATCATGGAAAGGTTTTTCTTCATCATATCCATGGCCATGTTAGGATCAGAAAACATCTGAGCTTGTGGATTTGTGCCTTCTCCCTTGGGGACATATAACAAACCATTCTCCTGCACCAGTCAAACACATATGTTCTCAGCATCAACATATCCAAAGATGTAACGCTAAATACACTACAGTACATCTGATAAACCTCGTGAACTTAGTAATAAAGGTAACTGATTTCTACACAAATGATAGCATTCACATAATTGACAATTTCATATCACTTTATGCATTGGCATGCCTTGAATCCTCTTAAAAAGCTCTTTGATTTAACGAACAAGCCAGAACTAAGCTAGAATTTGACAAACAAAGATCTTCAAGTAAACTAGAGTACTTATGTACACCTATCCAAAACAAAATCAAGCTTCGAAGAATCACAAAACTTGCAAGAGTCAAAAAAGAAAATTAATATCTCGAATCAGAAACCAGGAGAAGCGAAAGGTGAAAATCTTAGGAAGACCGTACCTCGTTGCTATAGTATAATCTCCGAGCGCGGAATGATCTCAGCGGGATGAAATTGGCTCCAGCTTTTAGATGCCTAGCTCTAATGATAACTTGTCTAGAGATAAAAACAAAAAAACAAAATCAAATCAAATCGATTCAGCAACCGAAACACAGATAGATACAAAACTAAAATCTACGCATAGATCACCGTCCAGAGAAGTGGGAAAACTCACCCTTCTTTAACCATCTTAGCATCGGGAGCTGGAGAAGAACGCATGAGCTTCGAGACAAAGTATCGGAGGATACCGATGAGAACCATCACAACGGAGAGAGGAATCAGAACCCAATCTCTGATCGCCGTATCAAGTACCAGATCCTCCGCCATTGTAATTTCTCTCCGATTTCTTCTAAACCCTAATTATCTCTCTCTCTCTCTGCAGTATCTCTCGTCTTCTTCTTCTTCTGAGATCTTCTTTCTGTTGATCGATTCGGTGAAGCAAACACGATCTGAGACTCAGAGAAATTCGACGATTACTAAATTAGTGGAAATATCTCTATATTATTATTTTTTAAAAATATAATTTTCGCTGTGAGACAATCCGGTTTTCGATTTGATTAATTGATTCGGATTTAATACTTTGGTTTATTTCTCGGTTGGTTGGATCCGGTACACCTTTTCGGTTTTCAAATTAAAGAAATCAATTGGGCTGTACGGTTTAGTTTGGTTGGGTTTCTGGTTACTGTCTCCCACCCCTAATTTTGTGTATCAAGAAGAGTATCCGAAACCTTCTAAGTCGCAAAGAGGCGCCGCCAAGTTTCCTCTATAAAACCCAAACTCGTTTAGTCGTTGAACAAATTATAAAACCCTAGCCTCTCTTCTCATAGCTCTCTGAAATCGCCGACGAAGAAGATGACGGTAGAGGCAGTGAACCCTAAGGCTTACCCCCTAGCAGATTCTCAGTTGGCGATAACAATCCTCGACCTTGTTCAACAAGCCACGAATTACAAACAGCTTAAGAAGGGAGCTAATGAAGCTACGAAGACGTTGAACCGTGGGATCTCTGAGTTCGTGGTTATGGCTGCTGATGCTGAGCCTCTGGAGATTCTTCTCCATCTTCCTCTTCTCGCTGAAGATAAGGTATTGATTTCTTCTTATCCTTTCTTATAATTTTCAGTTCGTATCTTCTTTGGCTGTGAAAATTGTTATATCTTCTTATATGAAATTTTTGAAGAAAGTGTAGGAGTTGCTGAGATTGTTAGTCATGATGTTATAATGTAGCAAACAGTTATGGAAATTGGTGTTTGTATAGATCTTTATTCTTGAATATAGGAGATTAATTCCTCTCAGTGTTCTTAGGCATTAGAAGCTCATGTTTTCTGCATTAACATACCTTGAGTTATGAGTTTAATCAGAGTTTTTTTGTTTGTTAGGTTTTGAGCAATATCAGGAATGTTTATTGTGCTCTTTATTGTTTTTGCCATATCTGTCACAAGTCTTGTGGTTCTTAACATTCTTGTCCGAGACTGAACCAATAATGCTGATTCTGAGCTAATAATGTCTGTCGTCTTTCTTTGAAATCGTTGCAGAATGTGCCGTATGTGTTTGTGCCATCGATGCAAGCCCTTGGAAGAGCATGTGGTGTGACAAGACCCGTGATCGCTTGTTCGGTTACATCAAACGAGGCAAGCCAGTTGAAATCTCAGATCGTGCAGCTTAAGGATGCCATTGAGAAGCTCCTTATCTAGTTTTTTTGTTAGCTAATGAATGAATGATAAGTCTCTCTTCCATTTTATGGAAGAAAAAGGCTTTGACTTGAAGCGGTTTTGTGCTACTTAGATTATTATGAAGAAGATATTGTAATGTTTTTTCTTTTTTTTTTTTAAATTTCGTTTTGTGTTGGTGCAAAATGTAGTTTTGAAGAACCAAACAATCGTTTTATCAATGGAGTTTCTTAGATTTTGTTTTATGATTTTAGTCTTTTTGTTATCAACCATTATGATGACAACATGGAAGAGTCTATCCTCTTCTGAAAATATTCACGGACAAAAAGTTTTTCAGGAAATTAAAAAAAAACGTGATTAATTCTTAATTTAATATAAGTCAAGACCAAAAATAGTAAAATATTAAATAATCTACTTTTTTCTGTCAAAGGGTAAATAAGTCTATTTACGTGAAGGTCTGACTAATCTATATAAACTTGTATCCTCTACTAATTTACCCAAAAGATCTACGGAGGAAACCTATTTTGATTCGCCGATTAAACGAGAGAAACTTTGTCGCCTTCTTCGCGTTCTCTGAAAAATTCGAACACAAATTCTAATTGCAATCTCAAATCCGAAGGTAATCGGAGCACTAGATTTGAACACCGTATCGTTCGATTTATCATATTCGATTCGTAATTGGATTTTTGAAATCGGGAAACCCTAAATTCAATTTTTTTTTTTCTTTTACAGAAAGAGTAAGATTTCTTGGATCGGAACATTATGTCGTCGAACTGTTTGATACTGAAGCCGGCGTGTATGGGATGTGGATCGCAGTCGGATTTGTACGGAAGCAACTGTAGGCATATGACGTTATGCTTCAAGTGTGGCAAAACCATGGCTGAGAACAAAGCCAAGTGTCTCGACTGTGGCACCGTCGTCACGCGGCTGATTCGGGTTAGAGGCTCTTTGCGTGATTTTTTGTTTGAGGTTTCTTCTCTTTCGTAATTGTTCTTTGAGCTGAAGAAATCAAAACTGTTGTAGGAGTATAATGTCCGTGCGGCTACACCCACCGATAAGAACTACTTCATTGGTAGATTCGTGACTGGTCTTCCAAATTTCAAGAAAGGCTCTGAGAATAAGTGGTCTCTTCGTAAAGATATACCTCAAGGTCGCCAATTTACAGATGCACAACGGGTATTGTGCTTTTTTTTTTTCTTTTTCTTGTGTTGGATCATCATGTTGTTGTACAAATCATTTGGAGGTTTGCTTATGAGTTGTGTGAAAATCGATTTTTTTTTTCTCAGGAGAAGTTAAAGAACAAGCCTTGGATCTTGGAAGATGAAACTGGCCAGTTTCAGTACCAAGGACAACTTGAAGGCTCACAGTCTGCAACTTACTATCTCTTGGTGATGCAGAACAAGGAGTTTATCGCGATCCCCGCGGGTTCTTGGTATGGAGAAACGAATTCACAAAGCTTATTGTGGTTGGAGTCTAAAGGAAAATGGTTTTTAAACTTCTAATTTGTCTACTGTGTTAGGTATAACTTCAACAAGGTTGCACAGTACAAGCAACTTACACTGGAGGAAGCGGAAGAGAAGATGAAGAACCGTAGAAAAACTGCTGATGGGTATCAAAGGTGGATGATGAAAGCAGCGAATAATGGTCCAGCGCTGTTTGGAGAACGAGAACTGGAAAATGACAAAGAGAGCGGTGGAAGTGGTGGAGGCGGTAGGGGTCGTAAAAAGGCATCGGGCGGTGAGGAAGAAGAAGGGAATGTCTCTGACAGAGGGGAGGAAGACGAAGAGGAGGAGGCGTCGAGGAAGAGTAGACTCGGGCTTAATAAAAAGAGTAATGATGATGATGATGAAGAAGGTCCGAGGGGTGGTGATCATGACATGGATGATGATGACATTGAGAAGGGTGAGTGGTAGTAAACTTTTGTTGTTACCTAGCAAAACTGGAGAATTGTCTGTTAAATTTCGACAATGTGTTGGTTTGTTTAGGGGATGACTGGGAGCATGAAGAGATTTTCACCGATGATGATGAGGCAGTCGGTAATGACCCCGAGGAACGTGAAGATCTTCTGGCGCCTGAGATTCCTGCTCCTCCAGAAATTAAGCAGGTCTTGTTTTAAAACTTATAGTACTCCACTTGCATTGTACACTCTGTGAAACTGCCTATATTGTTGATTTTTTGCTTTCTATGAGGTCTGAACTTTCTTTTGACTTCCCCTGCAGGATGAAGACGATGAAGAAAACGAAGAAGAGGAGGGAGGGCTGAGCAAGTCTGGTAAAGAGCTACAGAAATTGCTCGGCAAGTCTAATGGTTTGAATGAATCTGATGAAGAAGACGACGATGATTCAGATGAGGTAAGCGTAAGCCCTCTTCCGTTTATTCAGAAACATTTTGCTTCTAAACCAAACTGTTTGATTCTCAAGCACATCATTTTAGTATAAACTGGTTTTTAATACAAGAAATGTCATTTCACAGGAAGAGGAGACAAACTTCAGTCCAGTTACGAATTCAAAACAGAAGGATGCGACCAAAGAAGAGCCTGTTGAGAGCAGTCCTCCAAAACCTGCACCTTCCTCTGTATCTTCCCGTGGAACACCTTCTGCAAAACCATCCAAGGGAAAGAGAAAACTGAATGAAAGCGATTCTAAAAAACCTAGCAGCTCCTCTGTCCAAAAGAAAGTCAAGACTGAAAACGTAAGACATTTGCTTCTGTTTATGATGGCTTTAAAATATTCAATCTGTTAGAGGATTATTATCGGCTTTAACTAGGTTTTACACCTTGTAGGAGTCTTTACTACTTGTGTTGTCATTTGATTTCTAACAAGCAGGTTTTATTTTGTAAACTTTGTAAGCAGGAGCCGAAATCTTCGGTGAAGGAAGAGAAAAATACATCAGTTTCCAAATCCAACGCACCGACAAAAGCCGTGAAAGCTGAACCAAGTTCAGCTGCTTCAGCCTCAGCTGCTACGGGGCCTGTGACTGAAGAGGAGATCCGCGCTGTTCTGATGGAGAAGAAGCAAGTCACTACACAGGATCTCGTCTCCAGGTTTAAGGCAAGGCTTAAGAACAAAGAGGTAATAATATTTGCTATATCTCTACTCTACGTCCTTGGTTTATGATATGAGCTTAATTCTGGAGAATCAAATCCTTTTGCGGATTTTTATAGGACAAGGCCGCCTTTGCTGATATTCTGAGGAAGATCTCAAAGATTCAGAAGAACGCTAATTCTCAAAACTACGTCGTTTTGAGAGTAAAATGAGACTACTGCTATCTTCAGAACTAACTCTTTTTGTTTGTTTGTTTTGTTTCATGATCTCATGCGAGTTAAAGTAAAACATAAGAATGTTTTTTCAGATCTTGATTTCTAAATGTTGAAACAGATGATGAGTTGGGTTTGTTTCACCTTAACACATTCTTACAAAGAAACAAATCCAGATCAAAGGATTCGGTTTAGTCAGTAACTTACTCGAGTCGATTTTGTTTATATGCGGAAAAGAAGCACCAATGAAGCTGTGTTCTTGATCATTGAACTGATTTGGCAAGATCGAACTGAATTTGGATTGTCGAGCAATCGACAATCATGGAACTTGCTTGTCGTTCTTTTCCTTCTTAGTTTCGGTTGCTTTTGCCTTGTAACACAAGCATCATGGCATCTTACATGATCAATAAATTACTGTTGATAATGATACCTATAATCTTTTTTCTCTGTTTATAATAAATTTGGTTACGAGATAAGCGTATGGCAACTATATTATTACATCGATAGATCAACCAAGATCATGTTAGTTGGATTAAGCCATATCATAGAATTTAATAATATGCCCACATTTGTAAGGGCAAGCGGACCAGTATTAAACCATATAAAATCATGGTCTATAGAACCGGTTTGATCAGAAATGGTGGTTAAATAAGTCACGCCATCTGAATGCAAGAATCATGGTGATGGAATACAATATTATGTAGATATGATTCATATGAACAATGAAAAGGTAAGGAAGAAAGAAGAAGTAAGTAAATGCAAATAAGCATGACGTGGTGTTCATTCTTCGATTCTGCTCTGCTCGAAGAAAACCGTATTGAATTAGAATCAAGTCTTCACTTCGAGACTTGTTGTTATCTTATTCCACGCCGTTGCTTCAGCTGAACTTTGTTATTACCTCGTTTAAAACAAACCGACCCCACCCACCTTAAATTCCAAGAAGAAGAATTTGTACTTGTACTCTACTCCATATGTCCTACTCCAGCATCCTTTTAATTGTAGTTCTAAATTTATTTTATTTTTAAATATACAAATCATAATTAATATTCCTTTTTTTTATTAGATAATATTTTAGATATGTACACATAGATTAAAAATTATTTAATTTTTTATAATTTTAAAACAAAATATATTTTTTCATTAATTTCAAAATAGTTCAACCAATAGAAAAATAGGATTAAGAATTCAAACAACCAAAACAACAAAAACACAACTAATTTTTACATAGAAAATTGAAAACATAATATATTTTTGAACAAAAAATAAAATTTAAAACATCTTCTAATAAAAAACGGAGAGAGTATAGTTTAAGCGAGCGATTGCGTTAGACCACCTTTATCGATTATAAACCTTGTGAGTTTCTGAAAAAATAAAAATATTAATATTTTAATTGTATAATTATATTTCAATTTTTTAAAAAACCATTAAAATACTAATTAAGTGATATATATAGAAGGGGAGATATTAGAATCGATTCTAATAACTCTCATTTATGAACTTTTATTCATGGTAAAGCAGAAATATTAATAAAATCACTTAATATTAAAAACTGATTTTTATTTTACATAAGCCTATTTAAATAAGAAAATTTAAAGCTCAGAAAAATAAGATCATAATAATAACATTTAACGAACTATCCAACTTTGACGTGCATACATTTGATTTAGAGAATAATTTTCTTACTAATTTTTTAGTGTTTTGTTTTGTATCTTTAAGATTTCTATAGTTCTTCTTTTTGAGATTTATGTGTTCAAATATTTAGTTTTTGATTAAATGTCTTAATGATGTTGTATATCTTTGTATATATAATATATAATTCATGTTGCTTCAGAATTACTTTTGTTATGATGCTATAATAATAATGTAAAGCTGCTTCTTGCTTCTCTACCAGATCTTCTATAATTTTTAAGTTATATCTCTATTTAGTTTATAAGATCTGTTTTATTTGCAGTCAACTATTTGATAGTTTTGTTTTTAAATATGTAAGATAGTGTGAAATCTTCGCATTATCACTGTTTTTATCTTTTATATGGTTTATTCATGTTTTGATTTGAATAGTTTCAATAATGGTGGAAGAAATAAAATCATACTTGTATAGTAGTTAAAACATAATTAATTTAGTTTACGAAAGTAGGTAAATCATAAAACCAAGAATTGAGTGAAGTTAATTTAGTTTACAAAAAGTAGGTATATCAATTTAGTTTACAAAATTATTTTAATTTAGATAGTTTAGTTTACGAAAATAGATAAGTTATACTAGTAATTAAGTAAAATTATATAAATATATTAGTGATAAACAGATTAATTATGATTTTATTTTAATCAACAAAATTTGAAAAATATATCAAATTATTTGATCAGTTATAAATTGTAAATAAAATATAATTACATTATTATAAATTGAACTTATTTCATTTATATATTTTATTAATACATGTGAAGGTGGTGCAGGTGTACGACAACGCTTTTCTTTCTCACGTCCGTGTGGGTTATCTTTTTTTATTTGTGAATATTAAATTTCTGTTCCACCTGCTATGTTTATGTTACTGATAACAAACATGCTATAAATACTGCAATAAACATAAACTTATTTGTTTTTTTCAAATTGCTCATAATTTATTGTTATTTTTTTTTTGTAAAAATGTTTGGCTGTGCATAAATTAACTATAATTCTATATATACTAGTAAATAGAGTTTCATTCGTGATATTTATAAGTAGTAAATTTTATGAAAGATTTTAGACTTACGTTTAGCACGGATTTGATAATTTTAAAATATTTTTAGTTTTCATATTATATTTTTATACCGTAGAAATAAAAAAAATTGGTTCACATGTTTTAATTAATTTATTATTGTGTCTTAATTCTATATACTGACCTAACAGAAAATAAAATGTATATATATATATATATTTTTGACATATTTAATTGGTTATTATTAACATTAATTTCACATCTCTTCCTTACAAATTTACACTAACCTTTAAGCTTTTTTTAGCCAAAATTTTGTATATAACAAGTTTTGTTTATTTTTTATTGTCTCAAATTGGATATTTTTAAATTCTAAATTTCGCGATTGACATCTTTTTTGATCTATTGCTTCAAAAATTGGTTATTTTCACTATTTTGATTCAAATTTTTTCTATAGAACCTGGTGTCTTACTGTTAATCATTTGAAAAGAAAAAAAAACACGAAAGCTGTTTATGATCATCTATATACAATTAAAAATGATAATACATAAAACTAAGATATGTGATTCTGAATATTGTATAAAAAGTGCTTCTATTAAGACAAATGTAAACACGTGTGATTTTTGTTTTAATTCTTAATCAATGTTTATATAATTTTTTTAAAAAATAACTGAAGCAATATGTTAAAAAAAAACTCAAAAAGATTTATATTCATAAATTATATAGTTTTTCAGTTAATATTTTTTATATTTAATTGATATAACATCAGAAAATTATATATAATCAAACTAAGATTTTCATGGGAAATAAGACCATTATTATTGGTTCAACATCAATTCATCCTAGGTAATCTAGTTATTTCACAAAAAAACAAAATTTAAGGTGTGTAGTTAGATTTTTAATGATAAAGCAAACCTACTATACATTGACTAACAATAAAACACATTCATATTTATTGATTCCGTTGTTTCTCTAAAACTATTCAGTTGCTTCCACACTCATATAGGATGTACTTTAAGGATCGATATTAATATCACAAACGAAATTTGTCTTGGCATAACATAAGAAGACAGAGACAAAAGACAAGCATTTTTTTGTATTCATAGAAATTCTTAGGGAAAACAAAATTCAAAAGAGAATCCCATGACCAAATCTGTATAAAATTACATAGATCATTGCTAACTCCGTTTTTTTTATGAAATTTATCAAAATGCTGGTTACCTAAAAGGATATTAATTTTGCAGGATCTTACGCCAACAATATTGTTGTATGAATATAAGATATTGTGAGAATAAATATTTTTGATTGAAATAGAAAGAAAATAAAAATCAATTTAAGAAAAAATATTTATGATCGCATATTCTAACAAAATATTATATATTCTTTTCTAAAATCATGTAGTTCCTAAAATTTTGTTTGTACAAATTATTAGATATATTTTATATCATTTAGTAAATATCATGGTAGCTTTTGGTCATTTTAAAGTAGTGCTTCTCTTTTAATAGTATAAATTTTAGTAAGGAAATTAAAAGAATTTATTATGTTTTAATATTGAAATATGTGTCATGAGAGTATAAGTTTATTTATAAAAAGACTTTTACCATTAGATTTTTACTTAAAACAGATTACAATTTTGACCAGAATAAAAATGATAATAAATTTGACCAGCAAAAAAAGATTGTAATTTTGACCAAAAGAGGAAATTACTATATTGACAGATAAATCTTAACTATTATTTTAAAAGTTTTGAAAGTGAAAAAGTTGATGTGTCACAAAGAGATTAAAAGTTAGTGCTTTTGTTATCTGAAAATGTGTTATGTTATATTTTTATAAATAAACAAAATATTTTGATTGGTTAAATTAAATTAAATCAATTATAAAATTTAAACATAAATATACTAGATTATAACACTAAAATTAATAAACTTAAATTAACAGAAACTAATTATTACTATGATTTCAATTTTTTACATAGTAGATTATATAAAATATGATTATAAATTTTTTACAACTAATATATATATTATATTTTTATATAGAAAGAAAAATAATAATACATTATCCAATACGATAGTATATATATTAATAATATTTATTAAAAACTAAAAAAAATCACAATAACCAATCTTGATTATCTCCATCACCATTGCTCTCATGTTTTTCAGGCGGCATAGTAAAATATTTATCAAAATTTAAAGTAAAAAATCACATAGTTTAGTCAATATATTATATACAACTAAAAGATAAATCATAGACTAAACTGTTATAATTTTATGGGTTTATCTCTTCATCATTTTATTGGATATTCTT